TTACTGAAGCCAAAATTATTTCAACAGTTTTGCAGTCCGGACTTCTCCCAAAACAAGGAAATAATACGAGACACAAATTTCACAAGATTTCAGTTTTCTTGGAGAAGGAAGTAGCCTAGTATATTTTCAAGAGATTTGTGGTTTGTTCGATAGTGGCAGGTATTGGCATACACTAATGTGTAAAAATCTATTCACTTCTCATTTTCTGCTGTAGCTAGTTTATGAAAGAATCACCCATAGTTATGAAACAAAAGTGGATGAAAACAGCATCAGGTTTTAGTTGGGAAATCGTATGATTTTCGATGACCAAAGACCTGAGTGAAAGTAGGTTAATGAGTTAATGAAATAAGTGAAGGGCTTTGTTTTACGGTAAAGAGTGTTGAAACCACATACATTGAGATCCTCTCGGTGACTAATTCCATTGCAGCCTATTTAAGACTGGCTCAGAAATAAAGATGAAATGTAGAGAAGTGGCACAACTTGCATTCGCGCAGATAGCATTCAACTTCAATGAGAGGTTAGTACATATACAAAGAAAAACGCGAGGGCTTTCAAGTGAACAGAAGTGAGCAGTATAACTAATCTAGTGCAAAAACATTAACACACTATGTGGCCCAAAGGGATCGGGTACAAATTAATGGCATCAGACCCGTAAATCGTTATGTTTCAGTGTATTCGTAGACTCGACAATCAGTCGTTTGTCGAGAGCTTGCCGATTTCTCACTTGATACAGTCATTGTCAAACGCTAGGTGGGATGTAAATTATAATGACAAAGACCTGGGGATATAAATTAGAATTACAAAAACGTTTACAAAGAGTAAAAAGAATACAATTTAAAATTTTCGACGAGCACGAAGAGAACCAGGGTCTGTGACAAGGCATACTGTAGACCTTAAAGAAGTTCATTATTGAACAGTGTATTCGCTAAACAATGTATAAAATTGAATTTTGGATAAACGGAAGTGAAATAGCCTTTACAAAGTACTTGCCTTATCGCAAAAGAATAGACATACCTTTGCAGTCTCTTCCTTCCGGAGCAGAAGCTACCAAGAACGAATCAATCGTTCAAATAAGATTTGAGAAGTGGAAGAGGCATGTAAGAATTTTGGCGTTAGAAAATCTTCCACAATTATGATAGTATTATCCGATTTTCTTTTCCCTGTTCTTCTCGACTCTTCAACGTCGTCTAATTCTTTTGTCGACTGTTTGTTTCCACGCTTGCCTTTATCCACAACGCCACCAGTTTTCAGTTCAAAAGATGGCTTGTTAATAGCTCAGCAATACTAGCTTGCATTAAGCTGGTGAAATGTAGTCTTTCAGTACCCAAATTAAAAGTAAAAACCTTGATTTTATCTCTGCGTTAAAGGGATTCATTTGTAAATGTAGTTCCATGAAAATACTCCCTGTTTACCATAAGCGAAGGTAGCTTCGCTAACAGCAACTAAGACGTTAAAACATTTCATTAAAACCTGACTGAAAAACAGCCCTCCTTAGTCAATTTCGCGAAGACAAGTTACATGAGTGGATTAAAGTTGGTTTCCGTACACCTGGTGGTTGTCTTGTACTAGGTGCACAGGAACGTTTCCCGTGTGATACAGGACAAGCAAAAGGTAAAGGAAAGCTTCAGTTATTGGTAAAGCCTTGTTGGTGTTTATCAGCTGAACGCGTGAACAGAGATGATTTTTTTTTTTACTTCTGGGGGCCTGAAGGCAAACGATCTCACCGTTAATGGCGTGTTGGATGCATTTGTTTCCCAGTACACCCACGTACTTTGTGAAAAATCTTTACAGTACAGAACAATAAGAATTGAACTGAAAAACATATTCAAGCTATTTTTATTCATGGGAGGAGAAAGGATTTGCCAATGTAATGGCACGAAAGCAATTTCAACCCGGCACCGTGTGCCGTCAGACAAGACATGCCACCACACAAACTTTCAAGAACACTCTGAAGTTTCAAGTTTCGACAAAAAAAAACCGTTTTTTAGCGAAATAAAAGGGCCTGCGTACACTGTTTTCACATTTAAAGTATTTCTTTCTTCAGATAAACCGACAAATCTTCAAAGAATAATATAGGGCGGAGAAAGACGCAGACAAAGAAGTTTATTTTTAAAAAGGATTCGCAAATCGGTTAAGATACACCTAACGTTTGTTTAAGCGTCGATGGGATTACCGGATGAAGAAGTGAAAAGAGAAACTTGGGCAGTTTAATTTGGAGAAAAATGGATTTGCAACTACTTTGGCGTACACAGCATTTATTTCACAGAGCCCACATGCCATCAGACTGACAAACCTTGGTGGAACAGGTGCAATATTACGCAGCTGGTTCCCTGTAGTTCTGCTCAATGAAATTTTGGTATGCTTTTCATTTTTATCGCACGCGGTACCATGTAGGAGGGGATTTATTGTCTGAACAGATGGCGACTTAGTGATGTGATATCTCAACTCTACTTTAATATCTTGATACAAATTTTATGCTTTAATACCGATTTCAAGCCTCGACACTAGGAATTCCCACATTTTACTATCACTATGGGACTTAAGTCTGTTATTCTGGAAGGGAAACGTGTTTATGATTTTGAAAAAAACAGGTTGTTAATTGCTGAACAAATAAAGCGCCAAGAGCTAAGCTTGCAAAATGATACTAATATTTTGCCTGACTTTATTTTTATCCGTCACTGAAATGGTGAAAGGGCTTTTGTAGTTTTCATTTCGCATTAGGAAGGCTGTAAAATGGCTTCTTAGTGTCTTCTATTGTCGTGTCTATTGATTATGGAAGGAGAAACCATTCACGGCTCAGGAACGGTGCAGTTGTCGCAAAATGTCGTAAACAGCATCCTACAATTGTGGAAAGTTCTGCAGCTCCGCCTCTCATATGAAAATTCGTGCATGGTTCACTTTCTTTCAATGTTCTTTGTATGTCATCCATTCGCTAGGGTACCCCACGCACGAGGACATTGTTATACTACCCTGAACTTTTACTTCCCAGGGAAACAACCCGCCTTAAGCGAACACAACTGTCAAGAGGTGCTTTGGCCAAGGAGCGTGTTAGCGTAAGCCTAGAGCATTTTCTAGAGAGCAGTTGAAATTCACGAAAAGCTTAATGAGTGGTGAAGGGAAACAAGAATTAGATAGTTTTCTTCTATTCTGCGCAGAGGACTGATTCAGCCACGCCCTTGGAGTTTTTACTAGTTTCCACTGATTCACAAAGCCCCTAAACCTCCATGCATATAGTGACTTTGTACAATAATTGTCTGGCGAACAAAAGGAAACATTTCCTGCAATACTTGAATAGTATAGTTTTCGTGTGCCTTGATCCAGCATTCGTCGAGAATGTATGTTTAATTGTTTATAGTTCGTTTTCCCGTTCATTTAAAAGCACCGACGCAAATTCTACATTTCAACAATATTTTCACGTCGCTCGAAAGTTGTCAGAGCTGACATCGGCAAGGTAATAATGGTCAATAATTTTGCACGCAAAACTGATTAATTGTCATAATATTCTTGTTCAAGCGCTATTATAATAAGTAGTGGGCAGAACTCTTAAAGATTCTTCTGATTTATCTGTATTCGTTCAACAGAGTGGTGGCAACTCTATGATTAAAAATGTTAAGAAGTCTTCAGGTTGATTTTTACTAATGCTGAGAAGTAACGCTTGCGTGCCCGTCTGTTTCCTTTCTACTCCTTCATGCGTGGTATATTGTCGTTTTTAATAAGTGCAAAAGTGTTGCGTTTTGACAGACTGTCATTATGTTCGAGGCCTGTCAACAAAGCAATTTCCTTTCTTTGTCTTCTTGTTTGGTAGTCATAAAAGGTGTCCGTTTCTTAAGTGAAACAATTGAAGAAGGCAGTTTAGAACACCAGTGTTCCACCTGAAAGACTTGTGGGCCTCTGCGAAGCAAAACCGCCTCCTCTTCATGAAGTCACCCTACTTGTGGCCACATTATTTCTGCCTAGAAACGCATTCTTTAGTTTCCTGTGTAAAAGTTCGTCGTTTTCTTGGTGTAGGGAAATATCATTGTCTCTTTGGGATGCAAATAACGAAAAACGAAAACAGCTAGGTCTGTGACAAACAACTCCCGGTATTATGGAATCAAACAGACGGTTTTCTGGAGAGGCTGTCACGATTATATTTTCAATTATTCCCAAATGTACATTGAAAAGTCGAACTGTCTTATTTGCTTGCCTTTAATAATCGTTCCACTTGGGTTGCTGTCACGTATGTCACTTCAGGCATAATATCTGTTACTATCCAATCCCTCCCTACTCGCTTCACGTGCTAAGTTTCTCAAACTTGTAACAGTGAATCGTGGTTAGCTACAGGTGCAATTGTTCTAGACTTAGAAAAAAGAAACAAATATTCTTGCTTTCCTGCTGCTTCTTACGCCGTTTCTAGTGCCCATAAATGTGGTCTTCCTTTGCTGTGGGCGCACCGTGCGATCGCTTTATTTTCACAATCACTTAACGCTCACACTGATCACTTGATATCCGTAAGTTTACTTTTTACTGCGCGAAGTTATTTTGAAAAATGATATCTGTTAAAATTGACCATTGTTAAACGAACCAAAATCGAAGAGTATCCTGCCAAGTAGCAACTGCAACTTTCCCAAAATGTTTTGACTGGTGTCATTGCTACTCACAAAAACGATGCATTTTTGTCTACTCTAGTGAGTCTGAGAATATTGCACATTATTATAAAGCAAAGGGGTTTTCCTGTTCTATTAATTTTCTTTCGCTTTTGATTTGTTCTTGGGTGAATCGTTGGTTCTTGTGCCAAATATGTTCTTCCGTGGGTTGGTTTGTTAGAATCATTGAATAAAAGGGGAGCCTGGACGGTTGGCAAACACGATCCGACCACAAAGAAAGTGGTCTATCGTGTTTAGAGAGCCCTTATATCTCTCATCATTAGAACTAAGGGTGTTTATGGCAGGATAAAAGGCGTGGCAATGGCAAGTCCCGACTGTTTATTTATAAAGAGAAAGAAAGCACTGAAAACGCGGTAAAAGAACAAGTCTCGCGATGCATTGAGCGAGCATTATATTTATGTTTCTTCTTTCAATTCTCATTAACAAATACATAATTTTGAATCATGATCATATATATATCTGGATTAATTTTAAAAGGCTATCTATTTGCATTTACAAAATAGCATCACATATAAACAAAATACTACGAAACTGTCGTCATTACTCAAATATGGTACATCATATCAACATTAACACCTTTCTTGGAAGAAACTGTTTTTAAAATCATACAAAAACTGATTTCATTGTCTAAAATTCTCTAAAATGTCCTTTTTGAAAGGAAGAGTACAGGCTGGAATCATCACACGACAGTGGGCAAGTTTAATAGAACTCTATAATAACACGGCATATCTATTCATTGAATTTTTCCTATAAAATCTTCATAAACCGAAAGTTTTACAAACTTTCTGCGAATATAATCAATAATTCTATATTATATTTCTGTATGTCTAAAAATACTTCACTAAGGGCTATCGACGTTCAACGCGAAACAAAACAAGTCAGGCGTAAATCAGTAAACTTTGTTCATATTTTCGTTCAACCTTAACTCGAATGCATGTCCATGACGGGCTGTGTCATTGTCAACACATTTTCAGACGAAATTAAAGTGGGCGATGTTTGTGTGGAAGGTATAAGCTGTGCTCCCGGGTGTCCAGGATGACCCGGGTGACCGGGGTGATGAGGATGAGCGTGTGGGTGCCCTGGTGGGGGCATCATCATAGCATGTGGGTGACCAGGAATATACATGGGCTGACCCTGGTGGACTGAAGTTGGAGGCATAGGTGATCTGTAGGCGTGTGCGGGCATTTGAGCGTGCATTGAATGTGGTCCTGCAGACATAGCTGACATAGGAGGTATTGTACCAACTCCACTCACTGAGGGATCGCCTGTTTGGATGTACCCTCTTGGTCCAAAATGTGGCGGCTGTGGGACTCCACCATCCATGTGGTAATTGGGATGTGGAGGAGGGTGGTGCTGATCTGGGTAATATCCTGGGGGTGCTCCCGGAGGGCCAAATCTTGGTCCCGGTGAAGGAAGACCTTGTCCTAACGAGTTTTTGCGCCGTCTCGACTTGAACACCGTGACAACCGGTGACTTTCCTGCTCTGTTCGAAGCATCTATCATCGGCTGAACAATACGTCTTCTGGCGTTGATGAACCTGCCAAATTAATGAAACAGTTTTAACATCTTGCTCCTGGATGTTGGGAAACATCAACAAATGCAGTGACAAAACTTTCCGGCAAGACACGAACAGGATGGTAGAAGAAAAAGGCACAGAAAATAAATATTAGACTTGCAAAATTCTTTTCATTGCCTGATTTTCTTTGCTGCTGAACAACAGCATTTAAAGCTTCCTTGCTTTGTTCACTCCTATGTCCTTTATCACTGACAGGCTTTATTGAGTCAAGCTGGCATGAAAACTGAAAAAAAAAAAATTTGGAAAAAATAAAACACAAAAACAAGCACCCTCACCAGTTGTTAACTTGTAGGATAGTTAGACCGGTTTCTTGAGCCAAAGATCGCTTCTGTTCCTCAGATGGGTACGGATGCTAAAAAGGCAAAGATATTAAAAACTCGTTTATTCCACGCTTTACATCCATCCATTGTGATGGAGGACAATCGGAATTACAAGAAGTAAGTACAAAGGGAAAAATTGTTATTACTCTAACAAAAACACGACACCCGAACAGATTTCGTTTCCGTTTTTAAAAGACAGATACCACTGATAAGATCAGACGTAAACGAGAAGTGAAAAAATATTTTGAAACTTTTAGGTTTTAGGTTCTTAAGCAGTTACATTGCGTGAGACAGGTTCTCAGAAAAACAAGGGGCCCAAACTGGTGCCACAAAGATCAATGCCTACACCAGTTTATTTTGAGTTCCTCTGCTCTCAAGAATTAAAGACCCCTGGAGTTTAAGGAGACTATTAGAATTTCCTACTACGGTTCAGTCGTTCTTTGAGATTACAAAGAGAGAATGAGAATTAAAAGAAGTTTGCTTTTCTCAAATTGGTACAAAGTAAAAGATGCCCGTTCGGCGATGTAGTGCTTTTTCCCACCAGCTTGTTTGGTTCTGTTAGTGCACAGCACCAAACAAGCAAACAGGCCTGCTGCTTATTGTCGCAAACTATGAACTGTGGCAATTTGGTTATCGCTTAGGGTCTGTTCTAGTGAATGCTAAAAGAAACGGAACAAACATGGATAAAGGAATATTTTTTACCGTTAAATGTTGAAAAAGCCATGCCTTCATTATGTTCGTGGCAGCTTTAGGGAAGATCCCTCTTTTCTTCTGGCTTTTCTTCGACTGTTCGTCGTCGGTGTTGTCTCCCGTGCCATCTTCCGAGCCAACAGACGTGTTTAACGATGGGTCTGAAATGAAGAGGCACGCCATGTTTTCTAAGAAAATACTGTCGTTACCGAGAGCCACTTCAAGACCTTATTCTGTTACACGTAGCACTGAGAGAATATTGAAACAGACAGTAATGAATACGACACGTTGTTAAGGCGATCACATTTGCAAGTTTTATCCCCTCATTCACTTGAAAGGGTTTAATAGCGTCGACAGGCAGTTTTGCATACAGGCAGGATTAGGCTCGATGTGACAGCCTAATTTTCTTGTGTAGGCTTGAAGGTTAACACTCTCTGGCTCCTGCCAAAGAGAAGAGGTTTACAGCAACACCTGCTACTCTAGTTTCCTGTCAAAAATCACAAAGACCTACTTGACACATTCCCAGAACTTTTCGCAATAGCGCTATTGGTGTCATTCAAGACAAGACAACCTATTTCCTTCAAACACATATTAGTGAAAACACTCCAAGTTCCCATCGAATAGATGACTGCGATAAGAGAGCCGCGATATGCACTTCTCGGAGAAACAATGGGGAGGAACGGTTTTCCTTTGTCAGTTAGAAAAGGAGAAAATATTTTCCTTTTGCGAAGACACCACCCTACACTCAAGTACCTCAACTGCTTTGCCCCAGTCACCTTTTTTTCACAACAACGTATGCCACATTATGCCCCTTAAGAAGCGATAGTGTAAATAGTGGGTGGAAAAGGGAGGAAATGTTAGCTCAGTGTCTTGGATTAAGTAAACATCACGAAAGAATGCTAAATACTCCAAGTCAAACTCCTTTTCTCTCAAAATGACATCTTTATGAAAATGAGGCGAAACGCAAGCAAACATCTGGTTGGAAATTGAAAAGACCTGAAGGAAAGAGAAAAATAACATGGAAACGCGGTCGTTCACCTCACTAAATAAGAGGCATGCTGCGGAGCAATGAATTTGGTACCTAAGCCTACCGGATTATTAGTGGCAGTAAAAACTAAATCCTTCTTAGCGTACATGCGTGCATTTATGTCACTCGATAAGAAACATTCGTCATACATCAACGAAGGATTAACAAAAGATCATTTTCTACATTTCAATCGAGGGCTTTGACTTTGTTGTTGAAATTTTATCACCGAAGTAAAAACTAAAATCTTTATCTCTTCTCGCTTGTTCTCGAGGAAAGTTCTTGCTTAAAATCCTTTGACAAGAAGCAATTAAGTTAATCGAACGCTATCACCGCGTTTTACTTTGGCTTTGTTTCCTATCTCTAAAAGCACCAAAACCGTGATGGGAAATTTGAGCACGATTTAAACTAACTTCAACAAGTTGATAAGACAGTGAATGGCCGACCAAGCCTAAAACCCGCGTTATTTGAGCTTAATTAATTTGGTCAAGGGGCATTGCCAAGATAAAAGACTAGAATTTCACCACCATGAGAAGAATTTACAACAGCTAGATGCTTGAAATTTGACACTCCCAGCACTTGGATGCTGACAAAATCCATCAGGTTCACTTAAATACTTACAACAGCCCTTAGTCATACTAATTCATGTTACTCTTCTTTCACCTGGTATTCGCTCGTGACAGCAATAAAGCTCTTGAAACTGTTTTCCGTGAGGCATCTTCGAGAGGGCATAGAAAGTACGAATTCCAAAACCACTTGAAAGCCACAAAAGTCTTTAAAAAGTTAACGATTGTGGAAGCGAGGCGAGCTCGATGAGAAGTGGCGCGCACTAATTTGCGAGAGCTCGTTCCTCTTTGTTTTTCACTTCTAGAATCCCGAAACTAAACCCCGGAGATTGTAGATATAAGTGACGACAAAAGCATAATGAATTATTGGTTGACACTACTTCAGGAAATTACTGGAGGAAATTGCAAGAGGCTATCTTGTCAGATTTATCAAAGAATCAAGAAATACTGTCAAGAATTGAGACAATGACAGAAAGGGATGGTACACATGCACTTAAATGAAAGGCAAGCTATTATCGGCTTCAATATTTTTAAAATACACACATTTTCCAACTTAAGTGAGCTATATGAAATCTTGACAACGAAGGCTTACGTCGTATAAAGACAAGAAGCTCTTGTCAAAATTGCCCGAATAACTGACATGGTCCTGCGGTTAATTAACATTTGGCTCCATTCCTGGGAGAAAAATTGCTGATTAGTGGAGAAGCCGAAATTCTCGAAAGAGCCTTCGTTTCTGACAGGCGAAGACTATTTTATAAATATTCTTTTGTTCATTATAAATGATTTCTTCAGTTTTCGCTTTTCAGAAGACTTCATGTTTGACACTCTGTAAACGAAGATGGCACATCTGTTACTAGCTGTTAATTTTATCGTCTCTTTATTGTCAAAATAATTTCTCCAAACGATTTTCTTTTCCTTTGTTTTGTCACACAAAGCGAACTAGTATTAGGAGGAAAAAAATTCTTGCCGTTCGCCTCGCCCTAATTGTAACTTTTCTTTGACAATTAGTGATGTTTGTACTAGAAAATATTCTTGTCACCTCGCAATCAAAAGAAGGCGTTCACCGAATGGAAAACACGCGATAAGCTATCCGCGAACTTTTTAGGGCTCATTTCGAAGCCTCATTATCGATCCCTGTCTGTTTGTCATTTGCAGACACAAAAAAAAAATCGAAAGCGCTCAGGAAAACGTCTTCCGTGTACAATGTTTTGCTTGTGCTAGCAAACGACATTTAATGACTACAACCTTATGCATATGAGGGAAACGTAGCAGAATTTGCATATGCCTTATCCTTTCGCGTCGTAAAACGCGTAAAGTGATATTCTTTTTAATTACCAACAGAAAGAAAGCCTTTATGCAGCTGTGTCAACAGAGACATAAAGCTTTCAACTCAATAAAAGCCCACAAGAATAGACGTAGGGCTGAACCAATAATTTCACTGTTCAATCCCACTCTTTATATAATTGCCAACGTGGATTACAACAATGGCCAAGAGCTACTCATTTAGCATAATAAAGGCGCGATAAAACAGTACCCCCCGATAAATTCTCCTTTTAGTGATATATTATTGAAGACATTATTAAAAACACATCGAATACGGAAACAATTTAATAAAGAAGTGATAGAAATGTCGCTTTTAATAAAAGCTTTAGTCATTTCCTCACCTTCCGGAGTTGTGGGCCCATCGACCCCAGAGTTGGACGGTGGTCGAGAAGACGATTGAGAGTTGGAGCCCGAACCGGTGGCTTCATCTCCTTGACCGGGTTGCCAGTTCGGAGGGTTCGGTGGCTGCAAAGTGCGAAAAAAAAACAGGCACAACGATGAGAGATAGATCGCGAGAACTGCTCGTGTTATCTTGCGAAACACGAGGAAACAATTGAAATCCTTTCATAAAGTTGACATTGCGTGAATAAGAAAAGCAAAGCGAGAGGTGTAAAAATTTCGACATCTAACAAACTTTTTGTCAGTAGTGATTGTGAAGAGGTAATTGACAAAATCCCACCTACAACAAAATTGGCCCGTCGTGCTAATAATTCTACAAGTTAATCTGCCATTTCGTTCTTTCATCCCCGCGCTCTGTCTGAGTGCGCGCTTGTTTTACCTGTCTAAGGTGAAAACAGGTAACCATTCATTTGTTAGTGATTTTGTCAGGTTCAAAACGAAGAGGTGTGAATTTGATCTTAGATAAATGCCTAGTGTTTGGGACACGAAAGAACCTTTTTTCAACACGTCAATCCGCCAAAAGAGCTGTCTAAGCGCAATAAAAACTCCTAACAACTTGACAAAATACAACGCCATCACAAGTGTCCAATTGATGTTTTACAAGATGACTTTTTGTGACTTCTTGTGACGGCTCGTTGTACGGGCCGTCTTAAATACAGTAACCACACAACAAATTGTTTTCACTTCTCTATCCAACTTGTTGGACAATGAGAGTTTTTAAAACATCGCCGCGGGGCGCAACGTAAATACTGCAGTCAGTAATTATCAATCAAGCAATGTGTCCTGAACACTTAAACCATTCGCCCTGGGCCGCACTCGCTGCAGGCAGTTCGCTCTTGATGCGGGATCGCCAAGACAGTAACACTGCGGTATCATTCTCGAGACTTATTAATAGCCATTCATCCACTTAGATGATAATGTGATGTTGTGAGAGAAATTTACACCTTCAAGAAGGTCGTCCATGAGACGAGAAATTTGCCAAAGAAACAACTGCGCCCTAGCGTGGCGCTCGGTCGTAAAGGATGACACATCGGGTTACAGTACCTGTGGCAGGGCGCTTTCTGGCGGTGAATCGATGTCCAAAGCATCGCTGTCGCTTCTGCTTTTGCCTATGTTTTCCTTCTCGTCCATAACAAGATCAATGGGCATTTTCCCCTTAAGGCAGGAAATGTAGCGCTTACAAAAGTTGTCACACAGCTCGTGCACCTAGAGCGAGAAAACAAGAGCTGTATTGGATTATATAGAATTTGTTTTTACAACGGAAACAAACTCCCCCAATTTAAACTTGACTATAGTGTTAGCTCGAAGAAATACCTTTAAAATCCATCGAATAAAAGCAAATGACAGGGCGAGATTAAATTTCTAACTAAAGATAAGCGTAATGTATGCATTATGCAAATTCTCGTCTGAAAAATGTCTGGAGCTTCTTGCCTATATACACAGATCTGAGAGCCTCACAGAACTCGAAAAATTTCCTTTACCTATCTCCTTGCAGAGCTAGCTTTTGTCTGACTGCTCATGGCTGACTAGAAGATGACACCCGCGACATCGCAAACTTAAATAAATATTTTCTTACCTTTTCTAATTCCAGGAGGTGAAATCTCAAGACTTGGATCGATTGAATCATCTAGAATTAAAATAACCCCAAAATTGGCCCAAAATCCGCACAGAAAAAACAAGATTCCTTCATGCTACAAATCGCGACACCGAGAAGATACAAAGCACTGACTGACTGCTGTGCGTGTATAAATCAACGTATAAAGGCGTCGAAGCATGTGGCAACATTTTGTGTTATTTAAATTCAATCAACCGGGTTCGTATTAATATTTTAACACGTCCACCTTTGAAATGATACCTTACGGTTTGGGTAAACGAAAACAACACTTACCAAACTATCGACTTCGTGGTTGGACGAGAAAAGCGTCTTGTCACTCCTGAACTGAAAACACAACAACAAACGGAAACCATTATGAGATTTCGGCCGATCATCCTTAGTGTGTGACTCGAGAATAAAAACTGCAGCACTTCAAGGACGATTTTGACCGATCACGTCAGACTAGCATATCACTGGGTGCCCGTCCCCTGAAGGCCTGGGGGAAAATTGTAACTACTGAGCTAGAAACTGTTAACATACCTGCTTCGAAAATACCTGGATATCCTCGTTGAATGAAGCGGACGAGCACACGTCTCCTCCAACAGCTCCCGGTTCCCGAGGAGTGCACGTTGCCAACTCGCATTTCTCGAATATGAGCGCGAGAAGAGGGAACAGTGAATGCCTGGAATTAGAGCATTCATGTTAATGAATAGAGTTCAGTTAATAAGCGTCCATTTAGTGTGGTGCAGTGAAAAGGCCTGCGATCATGATCCTGCAGGATGTCTAGCTGTAAAATAGCCAAGACGTGCGCTTGTTACCGTCATGTGTAACTCTACCTATTTTAGCATGTGAAGTTGACAGCGATCACTAAGATTCTCGGATAGATCAGTCGATCGTGAGTGAGTGATACATTTAGCATGACATGCAAATCTGAGCTGTGAGCCGATCGTAACGTACGTACCCATATATTAACTCCTTATCGCTCTTATGAATATCAGAAACGGCGCTCATCGCATTCGACACTCCTCCTCCAGAGGCTGGCGTGTGATGGTACGGCGAAGTGGCGCTCGTATGGTTCATGTGTTGTATCCGAGCTGAGCGACTGTGATCGTACATTGAGGTTGCAACGTCCATCGCGTAAGGGCCCACTTCATCATAAGGCTGCAAAATTAAACGATTTTGTCAGCTGTTGCGTAAGCCTCCTGCAAATCAGAGCGGAACAGCAGCGCTAAACAAGCACAAAATGATGCACACACACCACCAGAAGCCGGCATCACGGGTAAACGGAACGCTCGGTTACTGACCCGTTGTGCCATACGCTGCTTATTCGCTCCACTCCAGGGTTACGAGCCGCTTTGTGGAGGATTGTTATCGTAAAATTGCTGCAAATGTTTAATCCTGAATTCTGACAATCAGTTTAGGGCTAACACAGTTGGATAGCTTTCTAAACTTACAACCCGTCAACTCAATGTAAGGAAAAGATGTGTACGGCCGTCAACACAACTAGTAACGAATTGTCAAGCCTGTCTCGTGGCTTTTGGCCACAAGTCTGTCAATCACCTTTCAAAATCTCCATGGGCCCTTGTCACGTAATGAGCGTGAGAGAGTTCGACAGTTGATCAGGTTCGCCGAGCAGATTTCGGAGAGAATTCTCTCTCTCAGGAGGCTTTATGAACCAGCAAATATATTCAGGAAGGACTTAAGGTTGTATTAGACTTGACAAGGAGTCTCAAACATTAATAAGCTTTTTCCCTTAAAATAGAACAACGCAAAGTACTTTGGAGCGGAGGCAAAGCCATTAGTCAATTCTCCTGGGTATTTTCATAAAAACCAGCCACTTTTCAATAATACCTGGTGGAACCAATTAGCTTGACGGACCAATCAGAGCCCATCTCATCCGCCAAGCCAAATAATGTGTCTAAACATTTCAATCTCCATTGTCTACGCCATCGTGGTTCTTTACGCAGTATCTGGGGCGTGTCATTCTTTTCAAAAGCTTATAACAAAGTAATCGAGTGCAATTTTGACCGTGTAACTAAAGCCCCGATTGAATGGCAGTTTATTAAAAACACGCTGTGGGCTTGCCATAGGCATGGTTTCCGTGCTTGCATGCTTCACATTTCACACCCCCATTTAATTAGAACACAAAACAATTTACAAATGTCTCGATGCGTTGGGAAGTATGTAAAACAACCCATTGTCGTTCTTGATTGACAGCATTCTAACACCTGCTGTTAATTGGCTTTGTAGTGTTCCTGACTGGGAAAGGCTTCCCAAAACAACACAAAATGAACTTTAATAAATGCGTTTAAAACTCAAATACAGCTGAAACAAAGGAAAAGAAAGAACATGCTGGTCAATTTGGACTTTGCGCTATCAAAAAATTTGCGCCTTCTCGTTCTGGTGGCCGTTATTGAATTTGTCGTAAATTGAAAGTAATTTTGACGGATTGTGTTTCACTATCAATTTCCTTGTCTGTTTGATAACGAAGAAACGTGACGCCTTTTGTCAAAAGCTGTCAGAAAGGCGGAGAACAGCGACATTCACCTGAGAACAACACATCCAAGCTAACATGCTTGAAACCGCATTAGATACTGTGTACTTGTCAGGGCTTGCTGTGAGGTTTATTGTCATTAAAGTGAGCTAAAGTTGCGCTCTTTTCAAAAGCTGATCCTTCGCGTAATCCTAAACAATTCGCGGCGATCGTGTTCGTGTGTTTACTGACAGCATGCCAAGCAATGTTTACGCGCCTGTCCGTACACGTCTTCCCGTTGTTTTGCAAACTATTATCATCAGCACTTTGAAAAGCTCGTTTACAACTAAGGCAAGTGCCCTAGACTAAGCGCTCAGGTTTAGCGTAATCTTGAAAGTCTCTGATTTATTCATGCAAATTAAATACGTGATGTGGCGGGCGTAGAGAGGTGAATGTAGGACCGAAGTTTAGTTTATAATTAGCAACTGAAACTGGACACTGCTGTATATGTGCTCCCTCCATGCGAGTAAAATTTGCGCGATCACCAAATAAATCGAGAGTTGAATTTTGAAATCAGTCTTCACACTGTATTCATCTGATTGTGCGATCCTTCGATTGCCCTTTGGCAGAACTAAACGCAACGAGAACAACAAAAAAAAAAACACTCAATAACACTGCAGGCACCCCGGCCAGATGGCGTAAACATTAGCATTAAAAGACGAAGTTATGACAAATTTGTTCGCGTAATTTTAATCATTATCAAATTAATCCCATGCGAGGTGACTTTTTTCAGTTTCCAATCTCCATAACGATTACCAAACCTTACGCAATTTAAAAACATGCTGGCGTAGCTTGGCAAGTTTGGCATCCACCTCGGGTTTCACTTGCACGATAAACAGCGCGCGGTGTAACATAATCAGCTTTTGCTATCGCCTGGCAAGATGTGGTTTTTGTTCGCGGAGCGCGCGAGATGTGTACGTCTGAACCGAATAACTGTAACGAAAATTTGTTTGTCACTCGGCTTGTCGTACATTTCAACATTCAGTCAAGCAAGTGACGTTCTGGCGAAAACCTTCATCCTCCAAGCTGACATCTGCTAATTAGATCCTCGTACTTATCTACCCAGCGCACGACAATGATTAGCCGCATGAAAATAATATTAAAATCATTACGCTTTGCTTTGCAAAAGAATTTCAAATAAATACAGATAAAACAGAATATACTCAGATCAAGAAACCAAGATTGCCGACGAGCTTGGAACGTAAATAATTTAACTTGGGCCTAAACAGACGCATTTTTTTAATCAACAAAGCAAAACCGCAACTGGCATTCCATTCCAGAAAAAGCTATGCATCAGAATAATTTATCTGCTCAGCATTGCGGACCCTTGTTATTGAACGCATTATTTTCATTGATCAAAATCTCATGGCTTGTTTTCTGTTATTTTATCGACATCTTGTTTCGCTTAAACGCAGAATGAAAGACAGCGAATGAGAGCGTTCGACAGGGTGATAACTGCTCGACTATTAAAACCGCGAAAGGTTGATGTATGTGACAAGCGAGGCTTGAAAACTACGAAAGTTTTGACACGTTATAATAACACACAGTCTGATATGATGCCTTCGAGGTGTCTGGTCACGCATCACTGGACCTTTTGCATTTTCCTTCGCGCCACAAATTTACCGCGGTCTCCATTTCGTTTCTGTTCTTTTTGAATAACATGGCAGCTTTGCTTTAATGAAGTTATGCCTCAATACTCGAAATTTCTGACAGATCTATCTGACAAATAATAAAAAGGCTTTAAAAATGTTTACATTCCCTGCGCTTTCCTTTCTAAATGCCAGACCAAGGGGGTTGTTGGTTTGAAGCACAGTCATTTCAACCTGTATTCTCACCCTGCTGTACACTCTTGTACATCTTTCTTTTATGGATGATAATGGCATAATCGGCGAACAGCCTCTGGATTGGTGACAAGGCGACGTCCACACTCGGCTGGCTTTTAAAGGACTGTTTGAAGTTTGTATATCATGCATGAAATTAGAATGGCTCTCCAATATTCACAATAAAATCTGTCATTACAAGCATGGCCCAAGTGTCAGGATGTCATGTTGCTGTTTATTTCTTTCGCTTACGCTTTTCTTTACCGCTATGTGGGGGGAAAACAGAGTGTTTGTGTTATCCGATTAAAAAAACCTTTGCCCCTTTAATAGGCATTAAAACTGCCACCAGATTTATTTACATCTCTAGGATATGGTATCTGTGAGGACGGTGTTCAACACAACAGCCTTGATTTGTCGCAAAATAAAACCATACTTCAATTTCACAACAAAGGCATGACAACTATGTCGTGTCCATTAGGACGCTTTGTAACACTCTTGGCGGTTAGCAAATGGGTTAAGTATTTTAGGATTAACTATGGCATCAATCAAATGCGCTTCAAAGTCACTTTACGAACGAATTCAGCCTTCTTTGGAGTGCAGATATTAGGAATTATAACCTGTATGTGGAGTATTAGAAAGATCTGGAACTTCTTACGAGACAGTAGGTCAGTTACTAAACCCTGGTAGGAGACCTCTGGAGGTTTGTTGTATATACTATCGATAAAGAGGGTGGAACTGGTGTTGTGATGGTGTATAAACATATCTGCACGATACGCAATTTTTGGCTCAGTCGTGCCAAAATAAAGGCGACGGAGGTCATGCTGGAGTGAAAACTGATCTAAACTGGAAACTTGAAAAAATGAGAGCTGGTTTCGAAAGAGGAAGTTTTATCACACGTTGAGCTTTTAATAAGTAACGTAGAATAGCAGTGCTTTTATTTTCAAAATCACCACACAGCATCATTTTGAGAACATAGCGACCCGGCAACTACCGCCTTCAACTGATTTTAAACTGACGACTAGCTAAAGCCGCCATTAATTGTATTGCCTTTGTCCAGTTGGTAAGGAAGTGTGTTTTAGCATGCGATGTGGCTTTTTGAAAGCTTGCTTGGCTTGTTTGTATACGAACATCAAATAAACTCTGCCGCTTTGAAGCGATTCAAGATTTACACTGTAATCACTTTTCGCGAATCGTCCAAGTTTTTCTCTTTGTTTGTTTAAAAGTTTGAGTTTCCCTGCGACCTGCCTGTGTTCATTGTGAATTCTTATGGCGTGGAAAGCCAGCCGCAGCTATTTACCACAGACATTTTCAATCTCAACTTTGTGACCCTGCCACAGAACCTTGAATATTAATGGCGGATAAACGAGTGAAGGCGGTAAAACCCTTGTTGAAACAAAATGAACCAATAAAACTATCCTCACCTTCAGTTCATCACTTGTTCGATCCCCAAAGAGCCAGCTGGGCTTTTCGTTACGTTTATCAGCCTGCGTTCTGATCTTCTTAAACGTCTGCAGTTTATTTCGAAATCGACCTCTTGGTACTTCACACGACTACTGTTGTGAGCGACATATGATTTCAATATTCTGCAGACAAGAGATTCGGTTTAGGATTACACTTTTCGACTTCTCGACGATCCGTGAACTGGGTTTCTTTCGGGAAGAGATTATTCACGCGCCTAAAAATAAACCACTTATGTTTTAAAAAAAGCAGCCTGAAGTCATCGAAGATGGTAAAGTGCTCTCAGAGGAAGAGGTTTTTGAAATTCAGCTCGACCGGCCATCAGGCAAGGGTTCATAGACTGGCATGTATTTCCTTGTGTGATATTCGTGCCATCATTTGAGTTGAAAGGGAAGTTTGCTCTCCAGCGAAGCTACTTGTACTGCGCGTGTACGTTCAGCTTCGCTTGCCTTAAAGAACCTCTGTTGGCGTACTAACACAATACTGCAGCCGCAGCTTGGTGCGAAAATTAGACATGAATAGACAGATGAGCCTTGTCTCGAGTGAGAACTCGGCCAATATCGACCATAGGTAGGCCCATCCGTTTGTGGAAACGAGTCAGTCATCACGGATTTAACATGGAATTACTCTGCCAGCAAAAGAAATTTTTCACTCCTATTTTCCATTCCTATTTGTGTTACATAGATGTGTGTCATGGTGATGAAAAGACTACTTATACTTCTGGCGGTTGCCTTCGCTTCCATGTTGACATCTGCCCTCCATATTGGTTTCGCCTGTTCGCAAGAGAGGCATGTTAAATTTAATCGTTGCGCTGGATCTTTGCATACAAATCCTATTTGCTCAAATTAAACTGTAGGACAAAGGTTAACCTTAGAAAACTGTACTTTTTGACAGCATCTAAGTTTCACAAAATCGGGTATGAACTCGTGGAAAAAGGTCCTACATGATGTAGGTTAGTATTAAATTCGCAGTTTCGTTAGAAAGAGTGGCTTTAGGTTTTAAAACCACTCAGCATTCATACTGCTGGTATTAAACAAGTTGTGTAAATAAATTGATGTAAGAACAGTGGTTATATATTTGTGAAATCTTTTCTTGGAAACAAAGTTACTCTTTATTCGTCGAGTTATTTATTGCCATAGCTCGTCATTTCAGTCCATTTCAGTCCATTTCAATCAACTGGTCAAATTTTGACAACTTCGTCGCTAAACCGCTCAGCACTGCTAATGGCTTTCCACTGTCTTTTTTTAATTATCTCAGCGAGCAAAGGCGGAAAACCGAAGGTTAACCTGGGTTTATTTAAGAAAGCTTTGGACTTGTCACTCTGCTGCCCGGGAACGTTTAGCACCAGACGATTATGATCGTCAGTTTCAGGTCGGGGTGCAGTAGTGCGGTCAAACACGTTAGCCGTCCACGAAACCGGAAAACGCTTTGTAGAACATACTATAATACCATTAATGAACTTTACTTTTCCATCAATAAAGCTGCTAAACAGCTTAGGGAGGAAAGCATGAGAAGTGGATATTGCATCCGTGACAAATACCGGCCTCAGTCTCTCTTTGGAGCATCCTAGACACGAGTGACACGATAACAATTCACGTTTGAATTTTCTGTCGACCTTTCGCGGAGTGCTTTGTCGTTGGCCGAGGTACCAGGTTATTCTGTGCCATTGCTATGTTTACGTCAAGAATAAAGATCAAAGCGCAAATTTTCGTGTAAATTTAGGATAACCAAACAATAATCTTCCCGCCCAAAACTTCAACGCTCTCCCGCTTTGGGAAGGAATCTCCAATCCGGTCTTGTTGTTCAAACCCAAGTCTTAAGTTCGTCCAAATTTGCCTTGTGAATGCACAGTATTAGTCACGTTTCTTTTCATAAACCGTTTTGCTACCGTAAAATCGTATTAGAGGCTTTTTGGGGGTTCTGCTTTTTGAATAATCATTCTGTCGTTGTTAATCTTTGTGGTAGATGTCTGTCAACAAAAGATGGTTCTGAAACTACTTTGGAAAACACTATTTGAAATTAGTTTCAAATAAAAGTCTGTTGACATCAAACGAAGGTGGAAATTAGTAAGCCTTTCAAGGGTGAGCTTGACGAGCCGAGGCAATCTACCTCACGCGCGAAAATCGGACGATTCAGTGAAAAGTTGTCTCAAGTGTCCTTAGCTTTTTCACGCGGCCGAGCAGGTGGTTGTGGATATGTTCCCCTTTCTTTCTTTCTTTCTTTTTTTTTTCGCAAGGTACAGTCTCTTCCTTCCTGTAGTGATTGTTCGTCAATGTGTTCTAAAGTACATGGTCCAGCGCCAATAACGTCCATGGTGTTAAATTAACTTAACATTTGAAGCCGAATTCCTCATTGTAAATCGAACACTGGGCAATAAAAAACGTGGTCGACACTTAAAGATTGGAAACCTCTTCGCTCCCCTTCGCGTTTATTTCTTGCCGGTTACCTTCATTCTATGTCGCTCTCAGACTGTTTTAACATGCCGTGCGTTATAGAAACTAACTTGAAATAAGTAAATAAAAAGCACGCGGTCCTTTTCAAGCGTAAGCGTTCACTTTACAAGTGTAGTTTTATTCTTTTATGCGACTGTCGATGCCGCCATGACTATTAATATGCCGTGTGTCGGTTGTGTTGACTTTAATTTGAAAAGGCCTTGAGTTATAAGCTGTGACATTTCTTCAGAGCAGCGATCAATGCACATTTACCGCACAATTACAGAGTGGGCCGAACAGCAATCCGAGCTTGGATTTGTACCGGCAAACGAATGATGAGCTTGCGAAAGGCATTCGATCAGGTTTTTGCCTCAGCGGAAAGAAGCAAAGGGGAACTTCAAAAGACATCGAAGAATAAATGACGCCACTGATGTTTACAGAAAGGAAAAAGAAAACACTCACAGAAGTGATCACGCTTTTCTTTCATGGCATAAACATTCTCTGTTCGTTACTGCAGACTGCATTGGTGCTTTGGGAATTTCACGAGCCGGTGGCGAATTGTGTTTCTTGCCTTAACATCGACTAGCTCGTTGCCAAGACACTTTTTAAGGACGTCGGACACTTCAGAGCATCGTAAACGTGGACTCATTATTTTGAAGTACAGGTCTACTTTATTCGCTTCATAGTAGGCGTGAAGCTGATTTCATGCCGAATATTTCATTTTCATTAAGTGTTGAGGATAAGCCGCGTCCGAACGTTCTTTATTTCGAGAGGTTGGTTATTTGATAGCGATGGAAAGCGAAGAAGCTGTCTAAAATGTCCACATCTGTCTGTCAGAACACGGGCTTGAGGAAAGCGGATGAAAGGCGACCGAAAACAAACTTAACATACCAAAAACACTAGGCAAATGTGGAAAATATATTTTATGCTTATACATCGCGTTTCTTCAACTCCTCTGCTCATTACAAGGTTAGAATCAGAAAACTCTGAGTTCGCTCTCGTTTCAAACAGTGTAGATAGGTATTTTCTTCAAAACGGGTCAAACCTGAGATGCTCATGATCATGATGCTTTGAGAAATGACGACCACCGAAGAAGTTTGTTCTGCATCTTCGAATTGCAGTGACACTGATGTGGCGGAGGCAAAGCTATGATATCAGGTAAATAAGAATTCCAGTTCAACCATAATGGGTTGTTGTTTGGTCTAAGCATTCAATATTGCCGGCAGATCGTGCCATTCGCTCTTGTATGTACTGATTTTGCTGTCAGAACATCCACTTCCATGATTACAATGCCTCGAGCTGAGTTCAGATATGATGAACGGTATTCTAGTGCAAGTCAATCGAACATTAATCATCTGTGAATGCTTTGTCAGCTTAGTGTTTATTAGTTTTCACTTTGTGTGCTGTAAACGTGTAAAGTTTTAAGTCAATTTCTATTTTAGTTTGTTAGTTTGCTTGAGGTAATCCGGCGGATATCGCGGCTCAACTCGCTAATTTTTCCACGGCCATTTTGTCTTCTTTACAATTGAAAAAGAAAACTGTGCCAATAGTCACGGACTTATTTCTCGCGAAAGCCTTGCCATACAATACTAAGTGATACTTCGAGAATTGTACTTAAAATTGTATGCTCAAGTGTGTAATGGGTCCACCGAGTACAAAAACTGTGATCCAGTTTTATCAGACACCAAACTGTTATTAAAATGTTCTCAACGGTTAAACTTCGATATTTGACGCCCGACAGTTACCACAACAACCTATAATGTCGAACGTAGTTTAGGAAGGTAATTGCCTCTCGTGTTCAGCAATTTTTTCTCGTAATCCAAATACGTATCATGTAAACAATTTTTGCTTTGCCGAGTGGGTGCCATATTGGCAAGATATACAATACAGAACCTTACCCCCTTGTCGTCGAACTGTACCGGGGACAGTGCCAGGCTTTGCAATGCGTGAAGATCCTGAAAGTGCGACATCGACATCTTTCCCTCTTAGCTTTTCTGAGACAGGAACTGGTATTTCTGCGAGAGCTGTAATATTCGAGGTCCAATTGTACTAGTACCGTTCGGTAGCAACGCACGGAGGGTAGATTGTCGTGACTCAAGAGGCGATTGGGTGGCTTGATTCAAGGCCCTGCTGGGTCCTGTCGAATCCCCGTTAAGAGCCCGATTGAACTCTCATGAAGGAGGTGAATCTCGACGGACTTATATAGTTCACTGCGGCTATGCGTTCCTCATATCCTACAGATTCGCTGAAGAATCTCATTTTTAACGTGTTTGGTTTCGACATTGTCGAGGAGTGATTTCGCGCGCTTGATAAGGACACATTTGATTTTGGTTTTTCAATATAAGCTTCTGAACACTACATTTTGGTTGACTACTTCAATAAAAGAAAATATATATCTTTTTCGTTTAAAACAGGTCAATAACCAAGATAACTTACTTTAGCTGTTGGCAAGTTTCTTCTGGTAAACACTTTTTGCTGATAGCTCTTTACACGAACTTAAAAACCGCAATTGGGAATAAGAGTCCATGGACAAATCATGTGCGAAGAACTCGAGTGTCTTGTACTAATGATCTTAGAGTTTTATTTTTGTTGAGACTTTGCACAATTTGTTTGAATTCCTAAAATTATTTAAGGACAACTGTGGGAGTTATCATGCAAAACATACATTGTGGTATTAGTCTAGGTTGAAATTTTCACTGCAAAATCTGAAGCTTTCCAGTCGACGCATAAAATGAAAATCATCCAGGTTTTTGAACTGCCTCACGAAGGAGTCTATTTCCGTGCGGAATATGACTGGGATACGTTAGGTTAAAGTCTTCGAATAAGAGAACTTCAAGAGACCAGTATTTTTCTAAACTAGCTAGAACAAATGTCGCACACTAGGAAGCGCAAAGAAGGGAAGAGAAAAAATTTAAAGTATTGGACAGTTTAGAATCATACATGTTTGTCACCATCATCCAGTCTGAAACTTCATCAAAAGAGCGTCATCTCATTTCACCATTTTTTCCCAACAAATCAACCGATTTTTTTGCTCTCGCAGATTTAGTTTTGAAGAACTAATAAAAGATGGCTTGTTGGCATTAGTGATATTAATCGGAGCTGTTGGAAAAATTTTGGTTCTCAGTGAACTGCCGTGTGCCTTGAACGTGAACCTCAGTTTATCCAAATCAACAGCAGCGAAGAGGCAATTTCGAATTGTTTAATTTCTTGTCGTGCAGGGCTTAACAGCCTCAACTAAGCAGACGACTATAGTGTACTAGTACCAGTTGGTTCAAGTAATATAAAGACTTACATTTAACCTTTGGGTCTGTCTTCGTTTTGTTAACCTTTGCTGGTGGTGTGTGCTGTTTAATTGTGGAGTATGTTACTTGGTTTGCTTTAGGTTTAAGCGACAGACCGGTTTTGAGAATGACGCTAGAACTAATACAAACCGACAGACACCTATACAGTTTTCGTCGCCTTAGCTTGGGCGAAATCATAAAGCTCTCGATCGCTAACAAAGGAGCTTTGCGGCTACCGCAATTCCCGAGGTATCGGATTTAGGTCCACAGTATTCCACGTTTTAATTGAAGTATACTTGTAAATTGAAAAATCGATCTCAAAGGGATGAGTTTACAGGGTTCACGTTTTTGGCAACTGAGGTGATAAAAACACTTCAAAGGCTCGAGTGTATTGTGCTGAGGTACAACGCTTGGATCGTATATCTAGATGAAACTTCGAAAACAAAACGAAGCTAGTGTGTGTTTAGCTGGTCACCACGTGTACAGGAACAACACCCCGATTGTTATCTCTGTCCGCGGCCTGATTTCGTCCATGAATGCCATTCTGTTTCGCATAGAAAAAAAAACAGACTCCAAAGTTTTTTCTGAGTTCCTTCAGTGGCGCGGTCTAATTTTACCGGTAGCCTGCTTCGACTAAAGCGTAATTGAACTGCTTCACTCAGTCTAGTCCGACGACCTCAAGTAACGACGTTAACTGACACTGACAACGTTATTTATTTTAGCAGCAAAAGTTTTGTTTCATTGTAATTCACAACAAAAATAAGATCACGACCCCACAAAAGTAAGAAGTCAGTAGTGGCGGAGAAGCTGATAGGGTTTCAGTTCAAAGCCTGTTGTTTCGGGTTTACCCAACGTTGAAGAATCTTGTTACAAATGTTGAGGAGAAAATGTTTCTCACTCTGTCATTCTGCATACTGATTTTAGCCTTTGGAGGCAAAAATCCACCCATCAGCTGAGAATTTTTTTATTATTTTGTTGTCTTAAAAGTTCCCCCGTATTCACATTTACAGCTATCTCGACAAACGCAAAAAAAAAATCAATGTCTCATTCTGATCAGTACTGAACTGCTTGTCTTCGAAAATTCATTTTGTCATCTAGAAGAACATATATACACTTATCAGAGTACTGCTTTTGTCATAATTTGAAAGCGTGTCGCTGGGTTTAGTTTATTTTTTTGTTTCCAACAAATGACATTTTATAGAAAATAAAAAGAAACCACTTCTGTTCTTATCAGAAGATAACTGAGTTGTTTTTCAAACATGTCAACGAATTTTCACTGGTCTTGGCGTTTGATTTCAAACCGATCATTTCGGAATTCTCTAGTGTTGAAATTGCTTGGGTTGCTTGTCTTCTTCGGGACGGTTACACTGAATTAGACGTCTTGATATTTGTTGTGTAAAATGACGCGGCCCTGTGGTAAACATTCACTGGTAACCTTTTTCTTGTTTTTCCTTTCGATCACTACGACTTTTTTGCAAAATTGCTCAGTGAGTGTGATGAGGTACGTGGTGTGCTCTAGACGAAGAGAATTCGTGTGAATATAGACGTAAACTAAGCAAGAAAAGGCGTAATAGCCTTCTGCTTTACAACATCTGAAGCGCTTATTGCCAGCGCTTCTAACGAACCTGAAATTTACCGGGTAAGCAAAGTTTCCTTTTTGCTGGAAGTGCTAAGATAAAAGTTTCACGGTGAACTGCAAACACAGTGTTCGGTGTTTTATCAATTTATTATATGATCCAAGCGAAGACAACCTGCAACAATTGAATTTTGCCACGTTGTGCCACTAGCGCGGCAGTAATCTAGAAATTCAGTCGCAACATTTTACATTTTTTATCGTGTTGAAGAAAAAAAAATCAGAGTATAGAAATACACTTTTCACAGCAATGTGCAAGATTCAAAATAATTGTCTCTGAGCGCTGTTTCAAACAAGTCAGTTGTTATTGTGGTTGACCGGTTTCTGGGAGGAGCAGTTTCAAGGAGAGCCCCATTTTCTTGTCGTTTTATTCGCGCTAGCGATATGATCAAGAAATTCCTTTAAATATCAAAACAACGCACGTGAGCTACGAATGTCACTGATAAAATAGAGCTTTTATGTCGAAAGCTTTACGGTAAGCAGAGGTTCTCTCCAAGCTCAACCGATTTATCGACGCTTTATTTTTGTAGCAATGTTTTCGCGTTGTGTTGGTTTTCATAATTTTTGAAGTGGTAAAAAGTAATGGATGAAAATCAGATCAAGGGACTTAAGGACAGTTTTCCTCATTCTTATTTGGAGTATGTGAAAGATTGCGAGCGATTAAAATGAATGTAAAACTAGTACAATCTCAGGGGATATTGAAACCAAAGGTTAAAGTTCTCAAAGCAGTGGTTTGCCTAGAAGGTATGTCAACATGGCGTTGAATAATATCTTCTTTACATAGCATGAATGTTTGTTTACTTGTTAATCTCACACCGAAAGAAAGTCAGCCTAGCTTGCCCTGTATTTTGATCTTGTAAACACTCTTCGGTGGTTGAAGAAAACGTTTCCGAGCTGCAATCGATACATACTGGCGCAAGGAACAAATATACGAAAGCAATGAAGGCGTGGCTTTGTAAGCTAAAAAATAAACACAAAAATATTGCTGCGAGGAAGATAACATTTTGTCGTGTTTTATTTTTCAGTAAACGCCAATGCGTGGTTACCGTTTGACCAGCCCAGAAAACGTTTCTGGGTTATGGGGCGTCCGTTTTTGAACTGACACAGGCGGCGAAGAAAACTGATTACAAAGATGGCAAATGACAGAGTAACATAAAAGGAACGTATCGTCTTCGCACTGACCACTTCCAGAACATGTCTCAAATAAAATTGGTAATAAAGTTAAAACTTGCCCACATGTATGTCTTCAAATTTTAACACGCACTTATAACCGTCTTATAACTGTTTGACACGGCGGTAGACTTTTTGTGGAGAGCAAAAGCTTAGTTTTCAATACACAACAATGTGACCAGATATTTGGCTTTCCAAGACAAGTTACAGTTCAACCTTCATCTCCAAAGAATGAAATCATCGCCTTAATCCCAGAACACCACTTTAAACTAAATCATTTGTATAAACCCTTTTCCCCCACTTATCTTGTTGAAGCGTCTCTGATATAAGATTATATATACCCTTTGTACGGGAAGCGTTTCCTTGGAAGATCAAAAAATCTGACCATGTTCGCAGTATATAGTTTGTAATGAGTCAGAATTTTGAAGAAGTATTAAAGGAGGATTATGTCTGAAAATTTGTTCTTTCTGAAAATTATCTTATTTTGACTTTCTTGACTTGCCACAAAGGAGGATTACAGGGCTTTGAATTAGGTGGACCGCCAAGAGTCCACCAAATTGTCTGAACTATCATTTAAGGAAATAAACGGCATTCAGCAAGTCGAGAACCACAACAATCCACGTTGCATTGGTTTGTGAGTGTGATAAAGTTGTAATCAATATATAGGAGAGGGAAATCACTCGATCGATTCTTTTTGTTTTTCCTACCGGTTTAATTTGATGCCAAGTCGGTTATAATCGTGTTCTCAGTTAAAGCAAAGGATTTTACTCGATAATTTATTTCACAGGAATGATGAACATTAATTTTCTCGTTACAATATCGATGTTCTTCAAACCGATATAGGTTATGAGGACAAAGAAAATTATGCATCACCCTGTTACCTTAATTATAAAGGAAACGACTAGGGTTTCCTATAAAAGAAATACCGTCTTTTTGTTTTGGAACACTGTGGAAGTTTGGTTGTTTTAGCCTGGTTTGAGCTCTTGTAGTATGCCACATTGTTTTAGTAAAACACTGATGGCGTAGAAATGCTAATGAATATTTAATAGGAATGATATCAATAGTTTTCTATCATTGCTACAGGAAAATTCAAACTATCTAACACAGAATTCTAAACTTTTAATGTTAGGGTAACGTGTGCACATTTTCAAAAGAACACTATTCCGAGAATATGGCTAACGGCGTTGATCAGCTTGAAACAGAAACAACTGTTAACACAAGATGGGAAACTGACAGCCATCGAGATGAAAACGACGTAAAGAAGATAAATTTTAATCAGCGTGAAAAATTTGAGTCAACAAACGTCATTTCAAGTGGGCAAAAATATTAACGTCATGTAACTAAACGAGCCGTTTGAAAGTAACTCAAGAGATGCACTCGACTTGCTCCGCCTATCGCCATGTTATGACTACACCGGACCATCTGCTCAAAACCGCAACAGGCTGTGTTTGAGATCATGGCTGTTATGGTCCATTGTCTCGAACGGAACAAACAAAACATGCCGCAGAGTATTAAAATAAGAATTTGCAACAAGGGGACGGTAGCTTTATAGACTTTAAAAGATGGAACACGAAACGGGCCAAGACGCTACCCAGACTGCCCTCGCTGTCTTCAAGGGGGGCGGCCAACGAACAGCTGGCGACGGACGCCGGAAAGAGAGCTGAGAGAGAGGCAAGCTTGAACTGACAAAGAGAAGCAGAAGATAGAAGGGATGAAGAGGGTTGCTGGAAGACCTATGTGATATACCGCGTGGGGTGAAAGAGTTTAAAGAACTCAAACTTAAAACTTGTCTTTTATTTTATATTTTATCCACTTGCTAACCGTTACCCGTCATTGCATACTTATGTTACGCGAGTTAAGTTTTGACAAGTGATTAATTCGTGTTTAACAGATAAAAAAAAAAACATGTTTATCTTCATTTTCTTTTGTCATCTTTCTAGACATTTTTGCCGTTGGGCAACCTGACAGAAAGAACTGCTAACAATTTGGACCACGTTGCTTTATTGACTGTTACAAATGAGTGCAGATTTGTAATAATGCTTAACTCGTATGTTTTGTCTTGCGTATAATGAAAGATCATAATTTTCTTTTAAAGTAATGAATGTTTTGGTCTCGAGACAATCATTTGTCAAGTGAGTGTAAGTTATTTGAATTCATCAGGCACGTTTTCTACTTGAAAAACGGCCGTCTTATGATCATACTGATAGAGTTGAGAACAATATATGTTACAATGTCGCTCACATCAGAAATAATTTTGTCGACAGTAGAACTGAGAATCCATAAATGCTGTTTTCAGTAAAAAGGAAAAACATTTCCTTTTCTAGTAAAGTTTGTCTTTCCTTGCCAACGCTCCAACATTAGACACGAATTTATAAAATGCGCGGTGAAAACGTCAATTTTTACTTAAAACAAAAAAGCGCTCGACTTAACAATGTTTGAAAGTGGTATTCGTAACACGGAGTCTTAAATACTTCAGCAGATTAACTCGAGAGGGAAAAAAAACGAAATTAATAATCCGCTATTTCATTCAGCCGAAGTAGATTCCAATGCTAAAGGTTCACGTTTTTTTTTGTTTGTTTCTCCCGCAGGAACTCGCTAAAGTGAAAATGGTAAAGAGCACTTTTGCGATTCGTCAATTGACATAAGATTTTGTGGCGTGAATTGTGAAATCACTTTTTCCCTCGTAAACGGACGTGACCCACTAAATAACCTTTAACAATGACGTAATAATTAGCCGTGAAAGGAGTCCTCCGTGATCTGTGATTTTGTTGCAGTCGCACGTAATTACGCGAGGAAATCGTTTAACTTTTCGGTGTAATTCGATTTGTCTTCCTATTCCCCAGCCATTCTGCCTCCTATATCCTGCCCTGGATGATAGCTCCACTTGTTGTCCTCCCCAAAGCATTAGCACACAAGTATCGAAATAGGCTGCTGTGTGGAAAGAACAACAAAAATCGCGTAGCAATCGGTTTTCCTGAGGCTGGCCACTTTGGTTGAAAGGTCCATTCACCCGATAGGCTACGAGAATAGTGCAAGTACTTGGGCGTGGTTAGCGATTCAGGCTTTTTGCTTAAAATTTTTACACATTTTCGCTCCCTTATTCGACGTTGTTGAGGAAATTTTTCCCGCACCCAATTTTAAATCTTAATGCCGCGTGATGCGAAATGCGTCAACCCAAAGGGACCGAAATGTGATGAGAATACAGTAAAGCAGACAAGTGATTCTCAGATTGGGATATTAATTAGATTATACGTTGTTTAATTAAAGGGAATAAAATTCCAACAATTGACCAACTTACGAGATTGAGCGCCAAGTAAATTTGCCAGCCAGAGGAGTTTTCAGTATGATTTCAATTATTTCCAAATGTCTCAAGTGTTTTTGTCCTATTGCCAGCTAATTACATGTATATCGTGCCATGGACCTCATGGAAAATAAGCGGAAGTTGCTTGAATGGGAGTTAAGCACAGCAGCATAACAAACATGCCATGAAATCAAGAGGTAAACGAAGGTACTTGAATCTGTAGGATGAATATGTAATTACAAGATCAAGCACGATAGAGTTTCAACTGGTACTCTTTCAACTAACTGAACCAGACAGTGATAGATCAACTAAAATTATTTTTCAAGTTTCTATGTTTGGAGTTAAATAAACAAAACCAGAAACGTCAATTTAGCTAAAAAGATTTCAAGCCTTGACGAGCCTGGCAAGTCTTGATTTAGTGTTCTGTTTAGAGAAAGAGCAGAGGTGAATTAAAAAAAGGCAAGCACCGAGTGCACCTGTGCACATCGCCAGATGTCTCATCCAGGGAGAAGAGGAGGGAGTGAAGCTTCATGCGATAGTCAATGCATAACATTCAAAAGAAAGAGTGAGAAAAAATAAGGAAGACTGCCAGTTTTGAGACCACTTTAGTTATTAGGATTTGTGAGTGAGATTTGATGGTGGCATGAAAGCAACTTTTGTTAATGTATTGCACCACGTCTAAAATGAATGAGATAGAACTGGGAAAAAAGTTGTTGAACTAGTGGTTAAGACACCACTCTCACAGCGCTTCCCTCAAACCGGAGGTATTAAAGAGTACCGGTGATCTGATATAGCCAACGATGACTAGCAGTTCATACAGGACAAGGAGCACTCCAGCAATACTCCTAGTTACTTCGTGCTATGGACCCGGCACAACAACCATACCATGGTAGGACTTTGAAAAGCGAACAAGTCAAAAGATATACCGGTATGCGTCAATGGAGACCAAAAATTAAGGGGCTATGTTTCTTAAAAATGACTATGCAAGCACACTGAAGCTATTATAGGAGTGTCATCATGAGCTACGCATGCGCGAGGTTTTGATCTGAAATTGACACGTCGGAGAGACTATTTCAAACTGCCGTGGTTTCCCGGATAATCTCGAAAAGCTACAGGAAACACAATTTACTTTAAGAATTAACTTTTAACTAGGTGCATTTAGGTCGCATTTGTGTATGAGAGAAGGTACTTCGTCATAATGTTAGCAGCGTTTTGACCAAAAATGCAGCAAAAGGCCTTCTCTATTAGATGCTTTTTGAACCAGAATCGTTCAGTTCATTGTAGTTTTTTCAAACTGGTAGTGGTTTTGATTGTTTCTTTTTCCTTATTTGTAGAAGAAAGGGAAAAGAACAGGCTAGTCAGTATCCGTTGTCATGACGCCTAGGAAAGGGTCACTTGATAGTGCGACAGGTAAGAATCCACATTTGGTTTCCATGTTTTTTGTATGTGTGATAAAATCCGGCAATGTTTCCTCCAATGACGCAAATATCTCCGTTGTTAGTCTATTCTTCTGACTGTGGGTATCACTTGTGTGATACAACGCAGCAGGTGCTCATCAGTTTCACACCTTAAATTAGCCGAATGGATTATTCGGTGATGGTCTCGCTTTACAGTAACTATAATAATTAAGATGATTTCCGCAGAACATTCGAGCAATAATGGCAAAAATAAAATTGCCAAAAAAACACCATTACATGCTAAAATTTTGAATAAAGGTAAGAAGATCTTATCGAGACGTAAGCTCTCAAGCTGACCCCGCGAAAGAAAATTGAGCTTGGAGTTATCCGTATTTCAATAAAAACGGACGTTTCGCGTTAGTTGAAAACACAATAACACACGCATTAAGCATTCTTGCGAGGTTTGACATTAAATTTCTCGAGAATGCTTGGGGATTTAATCGCGGGGTCACCTAGAGAAATGAATTACAGCGAGATGTTTTAAATAGTATTTTAAAAGTAACCGTGCTGTGAGTAGATTTTCAGTAAAGAATTTTTGCACTTATTGTTCGAACTTTAAGCGGAATTCGTCTTAATTATCGGGATTTACCTTTTCTTCTTTGCTCTTAGTAACAAAGGATCCCTTGGACGTCCACTGATGTTGAAGTAGCTCCTCACAACGCTGAAAAAACTCTTTATCCAGCCAATCGCGGCACTTTGTTAGCGGAATAGGACATTCTTTGAAGTAGTGAAACACTTCTGTAGGGCATGCGGGAGGGACGTTCAGAAACATGGCACAACAACGAAAAACTGCTTCTTTACCGCCTTCAGCTGAAACAAGAGTTTAAAGAGAGTTTTAAAGGAGTGAAACCTTGGCTATGTCGTAAAACCAAAACCAAAGTAATCATCCTGGTCAATCACAAAGGACAAGGACAAAACAGTGAACCAATTAAGACAGAAAAAGTAGTTACATGTAGCTGACGCAAAGCGCGGGAAAATGAGTACGAGCGAGTCTCGATTGGTTTTGGTTTTACATTTGATTGGGTGAGAAAGTGGCGCGAGTTTTTTTTTTTTTTTAAGCCAATCGTGTAGCATAGTTGATGCAAAACCAATTTCTTTTCGTCATTCAAAATAAAAACCACTCTATCGACTTAGAAAGCCTGCAGTACCAAGGAAAGACACTGTATGCTTTTTGAACAAGAAACAGTGGGCTCATCGGAATTACAATTCAAGCAAATTAAGCAAAGTCATTGAAAGTGATCTAAGCAGCATAAAACACTGAGCACTCGAACCTCCGCCCATCAACTCCACGACGTAGGAATGATCTGGAATCTTTCTGTCCAAATACATGACCGTCACTGTTGTTAGACTGACGAGTAAATATGGATGTCGGTAGACACGTGGAAAATATGTCATATATTTATCCTGTCGATGGGGAAATATTAGAGTTGCATTTTAAATTAACTCAAATGTATGCTGGTTCCACGTGCAGGCTTCAATATCTGCTCCATTGTCCCCATCTATCTACATATCTCGACTACAACTTCCGAGCTTCTTGCGACAGGCATTGTTCTGTGCTGTTGTGTTTGAGTGCAGCTACTAAACATGTTACTAGAGACAGAATTAGAAACCTTTCATTTTCGTTCATCTACGTTGTTGTTATCCGTTGGATACGCAAGACCAATATCTACCAGCACCTGCCACCAATGGGTCCAATACTATTTCGTTAATAGCATACACGTCCTGTTTTGCCTTTACCAGCCATATTCTATCCTTCTAAAAGCTGCGATGTTTTCAAAACCATTAAAAGAAATTATCCATGGACAATGCAATTTGAGGTCGACTGGGGGAATCGAATCACGCGATGTGAACGCAGTCGTCCATGAAAAAATCCTTTCCTTTGACGAATAAATTGGTGCTAGAAAAATCCCGATTGATCTTACAAGGCGTTTTGACTAACCAAACAGCTCAACCGACACGAGTAAGTTGCTCAGTCAGAAAACTGAGTAGATACAGGAGAACGAAATGAATTTATACACAGAACCCACGTTACATGACTACAACTAAGCGTTAAAAGCAAACAGAGCGCAACCTAACCTTGCCAATACAAACGTTTCTTTTTCCACCAGAGACGAGTTGCCGCAACCACCAAATAAAACGTTGCGAAACTGCCGGTTTTTGGAGATCCTCGTAAAGTACCGAAGAATTTCCGACTTCTGTTGACCAATCAGAACCTAGTACGAACACTCCGAAGTCGCCGCTGCATCTTTGTCGAAAATCGCAAGCTTAGTCAGGCTGTCTGGGTACTATGAACGTATGATTTTCCATATTCAGCTCAAGGTCGATTAATAAACAGCTGAAGTGCTCGACATAAGGTTACATACATACATGAACTTAATTTTGCTTCCGATTCAAAACTAGCACAATGATCAATGGTAGAATCTCCGAAAAAATAAAATAAATAAATAAGTATATAAATAACATACATAATTTATATTACAAAAATTAAGGTCCAGCTTAGCGTGCAGATTAGGGAAAGGAGTAGGACGAAAGATCCTAAAATTCTTTGCGTCGATAATTTAAACGACTTTGCACTCTGCCCGTGGCAAGTTATACACACTATCGCTGTAAAGTGGGCGTTGATAGACGGCAGACTTTTATTTGATTACAAGTTCAAGTACTTAGACACTTAAGATTGTCTTATCTTAATCTGGCTTCAAATTCTACCACATTTCATAACATAATAACCTCGTTTGTATAGATTATCAATTACGCTTTACTAGGCGTAATTGCTATTTTTTAAGGCTTTGCAGGTTCGAAAATCTGTTTAATTAAACAATTAGATAATTAATCAACCTCCCCTTGCTTCTTTTAAAATAAGGACAACAACAACTTTGTGTGGCTGAAAATGGGGAAGTGGGTAACAGAGTGCTCAGTTAATATTTTAGCCCCATGGACCCCTGGAGTGTCAAGAAAACAAAACCTACAACCCAAGGAGATGTAGACAGTGGATGGAGAGAAGGGAGTAAGCTTTCACCCAGGGCCACTGTAAACATTCCTGGGTAGAGAGGAGGGAGTGGGCCTCCACTGACCTAACTCCAGGGGGGAAAATTGGAGGGAGTTGGGCTCCGAAAGTCGAGTCTATGGGGGTAAGAGTGTGACGAGAGGAGCACTTCATCCCCATTCCCATGTTTATTTGACCAACCTAAACAGAACTTGCAAAGAACGGTAACAATATAAAAGTATAAATTGTGAATTATGATCCCAAGTATCTATTACTAGACTGGCAGGGTGTTCTAATCTACATAAAAAAACTTAAGCGAGGTACTTAGTTTCTATAGTTCGTTCAGATAAGTAACATACTTAGTGTCTCTGAGAATCGTAAAGATCCTTCAATAAATTGACATGTCTAAACCACCTCAAATGTGGTATGTTATTCCTCTAAAAGTTATAAGTGTTCGTTTTGGTAATTTTAATTCGAGTGTACACAAAGAAACCTCAAAAGAGGTACTTATTCTAAGAGTCCCATTGCTCATCTTAACAATTAACGCATCTATTGAATACAACTAAAAGTGATGCTTGAACCCTCAAGATTTACATGTTATGCCAGGAGTTTTTATTAATTGTGTACATTACAAACCTAGGTGTAAAACTGATGTCGCCCTACGATATAAGTGGTATTTCAAAATATCCTAGATGATTGGAAAAGCCCTTTGGCGAACTATATAATTACGACCTATGAGTGGGCAAGCGCTTTGGGTGGGTGGGTGGGAGGGAATAGAAAACATTCCGGACAAAATGTCGCACTGTAGTCTATCTCCTGTGAGAGCAAACGACAGTGGCCAAATTTAGCAAGCACATATCAAGATGCTAAAGTTCGCTCTGATTGGGTGGTTTTCAGGATTCTTACGTGAGGTCATCCAAGGTCGATGAATGGATGATTAGCAAAGCACATAGCTCAAAATAGAAACAAGAGTTGTTGATTGACTGAAATTTATTTCACATGTTCAATAAATTGTGATTCTATTTTTGAGGGATCTTTTTACCATTCCCTTCAGACGATAAATTGAAGAAGGAAATGAGGTATTGTGTGTGTGAATTCAAACTTGTCAAGATCATGCCTTTCAAGTCTTTGAACAACAACTTGAATTTGCATTCCCGAAGATGAAGCCGAATTTTTTCAAGAATTTCCAGTATTCTTGTCTCAAGAACATCCTTTACATTCACAATAAAACTTGGAGGAAATTCCATGATTGACATGCCTACATGGAAGACGCTCTGAACACGAAAAGCCTCGTAAACGAATTGATTTTCAAGTGACTCGCGTCTCGATAGTTTCTGACTGCCACACCTTTACGGGACCTCTTGACAGTTAGTTAAACATTTATTGAAAGTACACGATTAATCCAAAATAGCGGCGATATTAGGAATTACCAGCTCACCCCTAATTATCTAAAACGTTCCCTGTGAAAAATTTGGCTTTAGATATAACTGACTAAACAGTATTCTGCCTTGAAGCATTTTTCGTAATATTCTACAAGTGTTTCTGAGACAGAATCTCAAATAACGTACCGAGAAGTGGCGAAGAACTCTCTACAATGAGAGAAAATGGGAAAAACTCTTGGCTTACCTCTCTTCCGCTGTATTTTTCAAGCTCTTATCTTTTAGTGACAATGTCACTGGTAGCCAACTTTTTACTGCGTTTCCTATCTAAAGATGGTTGGTCACGGTTTATGGAGTCAGAACTCAGTATTTTAGTCTTTCGTTTTCTTTACGTGCGTTTTCTTCGCGTGAACTTAAAGTTACAAAGGGATAAAAGAAAAAAGCTAGGCACGCTGGCGAGAGTATTGGACAAAGCCTACAAATCCGAGTCTTTCTGCCTTCCCAAGCGACAACTATCTTTTGTTTTCATCCGCCCACAACTTTAAATGGTACCGGGAGAAGCCCTGCCTCCTACGCAGACGGTTACACCCACCAACAAAGCAAAAGAAAAAGTCCCTACGTCTATTTTTATCGTTGTCGGTTCGCTGAAAAGCTCCAAAACATACCTGTAGACAGTGGGCAGTAGGAACTTCAACGACAATTGTTTATTTTTGCAAAGCAGTGAGAGGATTTCGAGCGATGGCAAGGATGTAAATAGTTCACAATTAACGTTATAAATGCTTATGCAATGTCGTTAAAAAGTCACGATATAACATGGACAGTCATTCAAAACGAAATTGGTCCTATGTTTATTTAGAGTGCGTAGACTAAGAACATTTTCCATGAAACTCGATGTCAACGTCGCCATTCGTTTTCTTAGTTTTATGACAACCCGGAACAAATGCCTCTGCGCCGGACTCCCTGCTGACAGGCTTCCATCTGTACAAGCACTTGCTCGACAAACACCGCTAAAATCACCTGCTCATACCGCAGTGCTCCTCGTTCTGTCGCCATACAATCAGTAGAGTCCTCACTTTAATAATCCAAACTAGCGTGATCTGAGCCTGTGCATTACTATGCAATTCTGCTCGGATGAGCGTGTTAAATATTTACGCTGTGGTCGACTGCAGGACTGGAATGAGTAAATGAAATCCATAAGATAGATGGGTTTTAAAATCTCGACGTCGTAAATTGCCATTTTTTTTTCCTGCAACTCTCATTATTTGAAGAAAAAATGTCATATTAAGGAAACAACGAAGGTTAATAAGTTTAGTTTAGTACTGATTAAAATGCAGTTTCTTTTGGTGTTAATTCTACAAATTTGGTGTCAGACCCAATGAGATAACATCGCTTAGATGAGAATTTTCAATTTTTCTTTGTGAACTGTATTGTCCGCTTAACATTGTATT